CAGTTTTTACTTTTTGTTGAAAGTTATAATTATTCGCTACTCAAAAAACAGAGATGTGCTTGCGAACTTGTGAAGTAAAAAAATAGAAATACTCGAAAATATTTTGACAGACTTGCCTTCTGTATTGTATGAAGCAGAAATAATATTTTAGTAAAAAGTCAAATTTCTTGCAGACTCGCATGAAATGCTTATTTTCGAATAATGCTGAAAAGCCTAATTCACCATTAACACAATGGCTTAGCATTCAATGACGTCTCTCTTTGTTAATAAAAAGGGTTTGGCGAGGTCAATGTATCAGACAATGTCAAAACTAATTAACACATCCACTTTAAATAATTTTGTTTCTTTATAGATATATTTTTATAGAATAGGTATGACAAACGGTTATTTTACACGGTACATTTCACCTGAAGGTAAGTGGATACTGGGGTCCATGGACATCTACATTTAACATCAATTAAGAGTCAAAATGCAGATGCGTTGTCACCCCAAAGGACTAAGATAGAATGCTTCGTTTCCAGTAAAAAAGGTCTCCGGTTCTCTACACTCACCATACGAAACACAGCAGCTATAAGCGGCTATATTATGCTCTACTCACAACAAGGTGGACTGTATGCTCGTGTGGCGGCGCCGTCGTCGCGCCACAAGCGAAATACACCGAAGCCTAAATCACGCTATCGACATTCCGAATCATAAACAGTATATATAGAAAATCTCCGAACTATCACACGGAGTGTTGGCCGCTCCCCGGGCAGAACACCTTGCCCGGCGGGAGATCTCCCCTTTTCTTACCACGGCCACACTCGTTTGCCACCGTTAGTCTATAAAATAAAAAATAATAAAATAATAAAAATGGTCTCTGGTTCTCGCTAGCCGCACTGCGAGACAGCACCATTATGCTGCTATTTTAAGCTGGTATTCGGTGCGAGTCCTTTCCTCATCGTACTGACCTATGCACGCTGTATATTACACTACAGTGTGACTCTACCACTTAAAACACGCCATTGATCCCTGCCAATTTCAATTTTAATTACTTATTTACCACGTACTCCGCAGTTAGGGAAATCATCAGGAGGATCTGTCTGAGTGTATATACGAGGGTGGATTGAAAAGTACTCGGCCTAACACAGATCCATTCAATTCTAAAAATCAAATCTACCCACATTATTTAGTTCAGTTCAGACTAGTTCATTGTGTGAAGTTCGAAACGTGTGCGATAATTAGTTGTGATTTTATAAATTTATTAACAAGGTAATCGGACATAATTTCCGCGAATGGAGCAAATCGAGCAGCGTGCCGTCATTAAGTACCTCCATAAGAAGGGGCTATCATCAAAAGCCATCCATGATGACATGGTCAGTACATTAGGCGATTGTGCTCTGTCATATTCATCCGTCAAAAAATGGATAGCAGAATTTAAGCGTGGTAGAGAGAGTGTGAAAGATGAACCCCGCTCTGGAAGACCTTCGACGTCAACTACTGACGAAAATATTAAAAAAGTACTTGATTTAATAATGGGAGACCGCAGATTAAAAATTAGAGAGATAGCCGAGATTATAGGCATCTCTTATGAACGAACTCAAAACATCATTGTCAACGAGTTGGGTTTCCACAAGGTGTCTGCGAGGTGGGTTCCGCGACTGCTTTCAGTTGAACAAAAAAGGACGCGATTGACTATTTCACGCGACTGTTTGGAGTTATTTGAAGCCGATGCAGATGATTTTTTGAATCGTTTTGTTACTATGGACGAAACATGGGTTCATTACTGTACACCGGAAACAAAACAACAATCAAAACAGTGGAGAAGACCTGGTTCACCACCCCCTAAAAAGGCTAAGTCGATTTTGTCGGCAAATAAGGTGATGGCTTCAGTATTCTGGGACTCGAAAGGTGTGATTATGATTGATTATCTTGAAAGGGGTCAGACTATAAACTCTGATTACTACTGCACCTTACTACGTCGTTTACGAGAGGAAATAAAAGAAAAACGTCGAGGAATGCTCAGAAGAAAAGTTCTGTTTCATCAAGATAACGCCCGTGTTCACACGTCAGTACAGTCAATGGCTGAAATTCACAAGTGTGGCTTTGAACTGTTACCGCATCCGCCGTATTCACCTGATCTGGCACCATCAGACTTCTTTCTGTTCCCTAACCTAAAAAAGCACTTGGGAGGTCAAAGATTTTCGACAAACGACGAGGTCAAAGCAGCTGTAGACGCATATTTTGACTCTAAGGAAGAATCATTTTTTTTCAACGGTCTAAATGCTTGGAAGGGGAGGTGGCAAAAGTGTATTGAACTTGATGGTGATTATGTAGAAAAATAAAAATATAACTGATTTAGTATGTGTTTATTTTCTTGGTTAGGCCGAGTACTTTTCAATCCACCCTCGTATCTAAAATATTTCAAGGATTCAAAGACCATCTAGCCTATGACCTGCTATGGGACGCACTTATGTATATGGGTTGTAACTTTCCTTACCCGTGTGGTCTGCAAGTAGTTTGTATTAATTGCAATGTAGGTTGGTCTGCCTTTATTGCCTATATTATTCCGGCCTCATCAGAATAGAACGGTGAATGATATCACCACTTACGCTATGAACTCTGATTCACTCAGTGATTGCGTTGCACGGTTAATTGTGTTGAACTGTTTAAGATATTCTATTATGCGAACGGTGTCATCTGTATGACTATTTTACCAAATGCTCTTTTTTCTTACCAGAAATTGTCTCTAAGAGTCAAATGAACTAAGATTTATGGTTGACTTAAAAAGAAAGTGAAAAGTTCTGTAAATACCATCATCCCCTTTTTCTTTTTCGACTCATAACAATGTACTGCTTGACAAGGACATCTCTTAATGTAGAAAGAATTTGCCAATGAGACTATTAGCGATTGCTGTATCTGACGTACTATTCATATGGTCCCCTTGCCTTTCATACATGTCATGTCATATACGAGATAACGTCGGAAGCTACGAGCTGTCTTTAGCCTTTCTCCATAGCCGCAATAGATTCATGTATTCTGTGACCAGGATATATTTTAATTCTAGCCCCTAAGTCAAATAAAACAGGATAGAATAAAATTTCTGCTAATTACGGCACAGTAACCAAATACTCTGATTATTAAGGAACCCGGTCGTTTGCACAATTGCTACGAGACTAGAGAGATGATTACGTATAAAAATTATAAAATTCTTTAAAATAATCATGCTAACGTGCGGTTCAATTATTTTCATCATCAATTAAACAACCGTTGATAATCCTAGAATTAATTTGATTGGCTTGTGCGCTAATGAGCTCCTGGCAAGGTCACATACGATGGAGAGAAATTGGTTCGCACTTAACTTAATAAATTCAGTACATCATTAATAAACCCTATATATATATATATATATATATATATATATATATATATATATATATATATATATATATATATGCTACAGTGTTTATAAATTATGTTAAAGGTTTTTATGTTCTATAGAGTACTTTTATAACTTGTACGAGTAAGAATGGCTTGTTGTATTATCTTGTTTGGTATTTTGCACATGATACTTTTTACGTGGTAGAGCCATGCTGCAGCTATATTGTGGTTATAGCACGAATGGTTCGGCTCCACCGCGGTAGGACCATGCTCTCACAGAATAGCAGCGTAAAATAGCAGCTCAATGCTGCTGTGCTTCGTATGGTTAGTAGAGAAACGAAAAACCTTTTCTACTGAAATCGATGCCGATTCCACTTTAGTCCTCAGGAGTGACAACGCATTTACATTTAAAATTCTTAATCGGAGTAGATGTAGATGTCTATGGGCCACAGCATCCACTTACCATCAGGTGGACTATGTGCTCGCTTGTCACCCTTATTCTTTAAAAAAAATATTTATGCGCTAATAAAAAACGAAACTTAGTCAAATATATTTATACTTTTATTATTATGCCATAAAACAACAAGTCACATAAAAGAGACGTTAATGTAAATACCCTTACATTTAGCAACCTTTCCAGCCAAAATATTGCTTTTCCATCATATTTCACGCAGTTTTATAGTTGTAGGGTGTGTCTAATGACGTAATGATTGAAATGGACAAAGAGATTATGTAGTCAACATTTGTTTTGCTATTTTATCCTTAATGACTTTGAAATTTCCTGTTATAATTGCGATATGTTGGCATAATAAGCGTAATAAGCATTTCATTACGACTGGGAGATATCCTAAAATAACTGTCCTCAATGTCAACTATGGCTATCACGTACGTGGAAACCCAGCATAAACATAGTGTGTTTTCGAGCATATAAGGAAGACTTGTTGCTAAACTAATGTTTTTCCATAATTTGTGTTGTGATTTTGTTTACTAATTAAACAATAAACTTGCCAATAATGGTACTTCATAATTTTCCTGTTTTGAAACCCTAGTTTAAATTAATTACATGCACTTGTCATCAATGTAATATAGTTGGCAAATGTTTGGACACTCTATCGTAATCCTAGGGGTGACGACGCAGCAGCGTTTTGATTTTTCACACTTAATGTGAGATATAAACTATGCTCTTGGGCAAACAAGCGACTTTTTTATGGTTAAATGTAAATTATAGATTTCCTTTTGGCTGATTTTGACCACGAAAACCATTATCGAATGTATTTGGAGGTATCAACTGCGCAGGAGATATTATAGTGCCAAAAGCGTACAAGTTGACACACAAACATGCCTTTTAAGTTATCCCTGTTCCATGAGAGTATAAGTCTTGTGATAATATTTCATACAGGTTAACATGCAGTACCAGACAAGTGGACAAGCACAAACCAATCAGGCCCAAGAACCATTAATTTGTGCTTTTGTTCAAATCTTGGACTATTTTCGTAATCTACCTGGGGCTCCGCGACGTTGTTGTCAGGCACTGTCATTTCGTCATCGCCGTCATCATAAATGTATCGCTTGGACCGGTAGCTATATTTTATAAAGTTTATACATGTTACTACATTTATCATATCGTGATTTGTCAACAGGAGCACATGAACTTGGTTGGGTTCGACGAGAACCAAAGCCCGGTGGTAATGTCCCTCAAAAATGAACACATGGCGGGCCAGGATCATACAAGAATATTATTAAGGCTACGTACGGAGACCATGCATGGTCTAATCCCTACCACTAGTAAGTACTCTTATATATATAAAATCACCTATTTTTCTACCAATGCGATTTTTATTATTGTAAGATTGCGATAAGAAATAGTAGTGAATGTAACTCTAAGAATAAGTTAGAAAGAATAAGGAACACTTTTGATTACTCCCTTTACTTTCTTACTGTTGACTAAATACAATAGAGCCACAAGTTGCAGTCTTATAAGGATGATTAAGAGAATATGAGAGAGAGAGAGAGAGAGATATGGTTTACATTTTGAAGTAATTAAGGAATAAATATTTGTTTTGCTTATGCTGATCAAAATATATAAAATAAGCGTTAAGTACCTGTAATGGGTGATTTAGGCCATGGCCCAAGTTAAAAGAAAGCTTAAATGAAAACAGTTAAATATACTTTTATTTAATGATCAACGTCTATTATTTAGTTAGCTATATATACAGTATACTAGCTTTTACGCTTTTATTAAATAGAGTTAATTGATTGTATAAAATATATGGGCATGTATTTCAGTAAGGGGCCTTAGTCAGGCCGGGAATTCTGTGCTTATGCCCCATATGCCATTAGGGACGGAACTGCCTACTATCACAAGTCTTTTTTGAATTTATTGTTATACATAGACATTTCTAATGGACAACACACACGGTCAGTTCAACTGATCATTCCAACTGATCAGTTTAAACTAGGACTGTTTGTATTAAATATCGGATTTTCGATATATCGATGAATAAAATTATATCAATATGGGAGTTTTATATATAAGTTTATTTATCGTAAGTTTCATTTTTAGTAAACTAGGTTGATATTATACAAGGATAAAATACAATAAAAATATAAAAATATAGTCGTATATTAGTAGTACAGTTGCTGCACGAATGGGTCGGCTCGACCGGGGAGGGAGGAAGGCGCTCTCACAGAATACCAGCGTAAAATAGTAGCTTAATGCTCCTATTTTTCGTATGGTGAGTGTAGAGAACCAGAGACCCTTTTTATTGGAAACGAGGCATTCCATCTTAGTCTTCACGGGTGACAATGTATCTGCATTTTGATTCGTAATTGAGGATAGATGTAGATGTCTATTGTCAACAGCAACCACTTACCATCAGGTGGACTGTGTGCTCGTTTGTCACCCTATCCTAAAAAAAGGTACAGGTACACTGAATTATCGCAAATATAATAATATAACTCAACTTTGGGGCATGTTCCAGGTTAATTTGTTTATATCATTCCTTTTGGCAAATATGTTGCTATTTTTATATAATACCATCGTCTCCTATTATTACAGGGTCAGGCATAACACCATCACCTGCAAGAATGGCTAAGATGCTGAACGAACAAGTTAACGTGGACAACTTCATGGCGGTAACGTGTTTAAACGCGTCGCCCCTTATAGCGACGTACGACGAACACGTGCTGGTGAACAACTTCAAATTCGGAGTACTGTACCAGAAGTATGGACAGACCACAGAGGAGGAATTGTTTGGGAACAATGAAACGTCACCCGTTTTCGATGAGTTCCTCGAGATGTTAGGACAGCGGATCAAGTTGAAAGATCATAAAGGTTTGTTATTAATACATTTAGATGTAAAAGACCCGTGGTATTTCAGGGGATAAGCACTCGCTATAATCACAGTATGCGAGCAACCCAGTTTCGATCACCACTGGCACCAATGTTGATTGCAATGAATTGCTAATTGCAATTTTAAGTGCTGAATTACTATGTACTCGGCGGCGAAGGAAAACATTGTGGGGAAACCGACATGTTCTAGAAACTAGAAAAAAATATATTTCGAAGACATATAAAGTATGACAACAAGCATTGGCGCAGCGCGGCGGACATTTCCTTGTCCCAAACATTCTCAAAAATGATATAGGACCTGTGTCCAGCAGTGGGACGTATATATGCTGTAACTTTTTAACCTTAAGGGGATATAGTAACTCAGCTCAAATTCTAATTTCGCCCCCAATTCCCCGAGTGTCGTATGTTATGTACCGACATGTTTGTAATCACTGATACGGTCGTTAGATACTTATTTCATTAGGTTTATCATATTTATGCCTGTTTCTTTACGCCAACCCAGTCGCTTCTTATTTTTATTACGGTTATTTCCCATTTTAATTTTACGTCGTCCTGTTGCGTAATGTGTATTCTGATCGTGACACAGCTTCCCCCTTCAAAGGCCGAAGCGAGACTGATTGAGCGGCAGGAAACAAGCTTCAAGACGCCGATAGTTTGGGTAATTTCTTTTTACTGTGAAAATAATGGTAATTTAAAAAAATATAAAAAACATAAGCCCTGCTTTATAGTTAGTTCAGTTAGTATGCAAAGTTTCATGATCTAATTTAAAGTATTTTATGAATAGCAGCGGTTTATTGTTCAGTTTGGATCACTTTGGTAACTTTGGATTTTTTTTCTATCGAGAAAATTTTACGGAATCGTGTTTTCGTCTAACATAGTACTTAACATTAATCCTCAACTTGACCATATATTTATTTCAAAATTAATGCTGCAATATTGCAATATTTTCGGCATAACGGAGGATCTTGCTAAGCCATTTGAGGTAGTATTTTTAATATTTCCCAGCTCATATAAAATGAAGACAAGTCTCTTCGATTTTTCAATAGTTTCAATGTCTCTATAATATATTTGTTTGGAAAACATGAATCAGCATAGCACGATGCCATTATTTCTTCTTATACATGTAAACGAGGATGTTTGTAAAATAAAATAAATCGTTTATCTCGAAATCTATTTGGGGGTTCGTCTCGTCAGTAGTAATTAGGTTTACGGTTCTCGTTAATCAGGACACGTTACGCTGTAGTATTATACTGCTATTTTAGGAAATATTTTGTCAGAACATGGTTCTTCCCCTGTTTGACCGAGTTTTTAGTAATAATTCTAGGATGAGTCAGGCTGCAGTAACCTACAATAAAAATTACTGTTCAAGTTACCTTCGTTACTTACGTCGCTCTATGATTTACTTGTTTTAAGAGCGAGATTTAATTTTACTCTTTATTGAAGCATATTTTATTGTGTGAATAGTTTCCATATAATTAGCTCATTCATCATACATTCATTCATTCATTACAGCCCTATCAAAGTCCATGTTGAAAAAAACTTCCTCTAATATGAGGAGGCATTCTAGGGGAGGCTTTGGGGAGATATTTGCTATAGATGCCACGCTAGGCAGGCGGGTTGGCAGCGCAGGTTTTTTATCATACATATTATACGATGGTTAAATTTTAATTTTCGTTTTATTTTATGTCTAAAATATATATGAGTGTATATATTATGTGTGTATAATAGTACCTGTCTAAACCATTAATTTTAATTTTGATGACAACTTCCAAATATTGTTGGAAGCTTTCGTAATGTAATACACTTTATATGACAACATCCAATGTAACCTAGTGTACTGGGTTGGAAACACGGGAACAAATCGCGGAACAAGGCACGAAGGTGATACGATATAATTTGTGTATATTACGACAATAATTTGTGTATATTTAGAAAATGTAGGTTGCGACTGCAATTCCAACCACGCATTCGTGACTTAGAATGACTTAGAAGCATTCTAAACAGGCGAATATCAAAAACCAAAAATGATAACATTTAATGAGTTACATGTGAAAGATTTTTAGTACTTATTAATTATATGCATTCAAAGTACATGGCTCAGGACCCTGTATTGGAAGGCCAATGTTATGGCACTGGACTTTGGAATGATAGCAAGCATCATCATGATGTTGATGAACCAAAGTACGAGTTTTTTTTTGTATAGGATCTACCTATAATTATTACAGTTCAACAACTAAAATCTAAAAGTATAACAGACTTATTCTAATTGCACAATTACTTCAAGACAAACACCGCTAAGCCATAATTATTTCTTATATTTGCGCGAACACCACACATTTAAATAATACTAGTTTTTACGCATTTTATAGCGTATATTTAACTTTTTTAATACTCGACGTTTCAAGCACTTAACAGCACCCATGGTCACGCGAAAGGGGGCGGGGACTGAGGTGTTCAATGTCCAGATGTCATAGTTAACCTCGGTTACCATAGATTAAAATTTAACTTTTGTTCCGATATACACAATATGAACTTATGGTACCTTATACTTATGGTATATATGTTTGTTAAAGCTTGACAACTAGTGATTAGATATCATGTGATGGTATATGAAGGTGAGTCTGGTTGTCTCTAGGTTACCGCGGCGGGTTGGACATAATGAACGGGCACACAGGAACGGAGGCGGTGTATGAGCGGTATATGGAGCGCGAGATCATGTTCCACGTGGCGCCGCTACTGCCGCACACCGCCGGAGACGCGCAGCAGCTGCAGCGCAAGCGCCACGTCGGCAACGACATCGTCGCGATCGTCTTCCAGGTACGTTAGCACTTTCTGTGCTGAGTTGTAGATCCTCTTTTGTCTACAAGGATTTCATCGAGATTGTTTTTATGTATGTAAGCGCATTTTCAGTCGTTTTGTAGCAACGACATCGTCGCGATCGTCTTCCAGGTACGTCAGCGCTTTCTGTGCTGAGTTGTAGATTCTCTTTAATCTACAAGGATTTCATCGAGATTGTTTTTATGTATGTAAGCGCATTTTCAGTCGTTTTGTAGCAACGACATCGTCGCGATCGTCTTCCAGGTACGTCAGCGCTTTCTGTGCTGAGTTGTAGATCCTCTTTTGTCTACAAGGATTTCATCGAGATTGTTTTTATGTATGTAAGCGCATTTTCAGTCGTTTTGTAGCAACGACATCGTCGCGATCGTCTACCAGGTACCTCAGCGCTTCTGCTGAGTTCTGGATCTCTCTTTAATCTACAAGGATTTCATCGAGATTGGTTTTATGCATGTAAGCGCATTTTCAGTCGTTTTGTAGCAACGACATCGTCGGGAACGTCTTCCAGGTACGTCAGCGCTTTCTGTGCTGAGTTGTAGATCCTCTTTTGTCTACAAGGATTTCATCGAGATTGTTTTTATGTATGTAAGCGCATTTTCAGTCGTTTTGTAGCAACGACTTTGGCACGATCGTCTATGAGATACCTTATCGCTTGAGTTCTAGATCTTTCTTTACATAAAGAATCATAAGTAACATCTACAGTGTAAAAGTAACTTGCGCTTCCGTGAAATTGCCACAATCGTCTTTTAATGTCAGCGTACCCTTCAGCTGAATTTCATGGTGCAAAAATTCGTGTGAAAGAAATAAGCGCACATTAAGACATTCTTTACTCGTACCTTTTATACTTAAATTTGACTTAACTGTTGGTTACAATTGAAAAAAAATCTAAAGTGTCTTTTCAACCGATTTCAAAAAAGGAGAAGGTTCTAATTCGACTGTATTATTTATTGTGTTACCTCAGAACTTTTTTCTAGGTGAACCGTTTTTTATTATTCTTTTTTTATTTAAAAGCTGGTGCCTCTCATGTGGTCCCATATAAATTTGATCAAGATCTGACTAATAGTTTTTGACTGGGAGAGAATGCCCAAAGGCAATAAGTCTGCCCTTTGTAGTCCTTTTCATTAAGGTGCAATAAAGTGTAAATAAATAAATAAATAAATAATGCCTACTTAATTGACTTCGACTGCATTGATAATGTTCTCATTTTATTTATATTGTAGTCGGTTGAACAAAATATTTAATTTTACCACTTATGAAACAAAATGTAATCCAGCGCCTGCTACTTTAGATCAGATAAATCGTATTTGGATTTGGAAGAAGAGGAATATTATTAAAGAGTAATTATTTCTTATCACATCTATTTTCGTTACAGGAAAAGGCGACACCCTTCACGCCTGACATGATTGCTTCTCACTTTCTTCATGCTTTCATTGTGGTTACGCCCATGGAGACGATCGGCGGGGAGACCAGGTAAGTTTATTGTAAAGGTTGATTTTTTAGTCACATATAATAATTATAAAATCTAGCTGATGAAATCGGTTTGAAAAAAATGACTTCCAGTTATACGTTTTAAACTCAGCGCTGAAGCGATTAGAGATCTGCACTTAGGCGATTACAAATCAGCACTTAGGCGATCACAGCGAATCGTTTAAACGGTTTACGTCCGTAGACTGATAACGGGTTACAAAGATTGCGCTTAACTATTCAAGTAACAAAATTTTGGTGTTTTAAATTGTCAACTTAATATTTAAATAAGTTGCATATAAAATGACGTTGCTTGTATTACTGTATTGATTCACCGAACTTTCACCTTCATTTTATTTGATATAACTTTTATGCCAAATTTTTGCAGAAGTTAATATAAATATAGAAAGTGTTTCAACATAATTCTTTCTTATATTTACGCGTACACTACACATTTAATAATTACGTGAAGCACCATCTCTCCGGGACTGCAGTCTGTAAACATGTTCAAGATTGTCTCCGCCATTACATCAGATTTGATAGACCACAAACCCTCGCAAAAGAACTCCGATTCCTACCAAGGGTGATATGCGATGCTATTCAAAACACCCCAACTTCAATAGAGGAGATGTATCTGGATGGGTTTAATCCAAACCTAAGTTAACGCTCGTTCTGCATATTCAAAAACTGAAGGTAGCCGGGCTAACTATGATATAGGGACGTCAAACAACTCAGTTTCCCCGTGACCATGGATGCTGTAAAGCACCATCGCGATGAAATCCGTAAAAATAGTTTTATTCAAAGTATTTCACATAATAAGAAAAAGAAATATTAGTAACACCATTTATACTTTCGCTTTAGTCGAAAATTCTAAACCTTCTTAAACTGAAACGACTTTGGTTTAAAAACGCTCAAGTGTGTGGAAAACTTTAGAATAGCAATAACCTTAATGCTTTTTCCGCTTTATATTACCGTTTCTCTGTTCATAAATTGCATCTTTAGTTGCATCGCTTCCACTTTTATACACTTGTCAAGTTGTTTTGCATAAAGTTTGTGTAACTTTGGAACAACGCACGGAGGCGTTATTTGCATGAAGCGCCGGGGAGAATTGCCCGGAAAAGAGAATGGAAATTCTCTAGGTAATTTATATGCAAACGAATCACGACTTTGTAATTAGGGAGCTTTTTACCGGGACAGATATAGTACGGGGGTATGGGAGATGAGATTTGCTGTTGGATAAAGATGTTACTATTAAGATTCAATGGTATTCAATTATGACAGCAACTATTTGGTTCTATATTATGTACTAGCCTTGCCACTTTTAATTATATAACACAGACTTCTTAGCACCTGCTAGACTAATTGAAAAACAAGAAGTTTTAAAGAAAATTAGGCACACCATATTTTCATGAAATCACTACAATCTTACTACCACGTAAGATAAATATTAAAGAGCTACTTTACCAGTGCGCGGTCACAAATTTAAATATTCTTATTATATATAATTTCTGGTAAAGCTGCTCTTTAATATTTATCTTACGTGGTAGAGCCTCGTGGCAGCTATATTATGGTTGTAGGGTGAATGGGTCGCCTAGGCCGAGGAAGCACGACTATCTTACAGAATACCAACCTAATATAGCAGCTTAATGCTGCTGATGGTGAGTATAGAGAACAAGAGACCCTTTCTACTGAAAACGAGGCATTCCATCGTAGTCCTCAGGAGTGACAATGCATATTATGCATTTTAATTCTTAATTGAAGATAAATTCTGATGTCTGTGGGCCACAGCATCATCCACTTACCACCAGTTGCACCGTATGATCGTTTGTCACCCATTCTATAAAAGAATTAGTCGGTAGGATTTCGGGTTTCCATCCTTATTTTACACTGAACGCTGATTGCGCTTAGTGTGATTCATCTTAACCGTGTAGTAGCGGTGCTAAAATATCGACTTCCCCATATCTTTCTGTGGGTGTCATAAGATGCGACACAGGGAAATAGACTAGAAAAAGGCCACCAGTGTCTTCCTAATAACAACTAGAATTTTTTTCTATTAAAAAACTACAAAATGAAAAAAAAAAACTGCGATTGTCAACCCACTTGTCAAGCGTGGTATGTATTACAAATATCTTATGAGGCAATCTGTGGGGAGGCTTATGTTCAGCAGTGGACTTTGATCATAGAATACTATAATACATACATAATAGAACGGGCGGAGGCCGTGTAGTCACTAAAATGTCACTAACACGTCAATTCACACGTATAAATGTCAACACAAGATGTGTTTTGACGTTACAATCTTTTCCAAATTTCCCATGCAAATTATTTAGAAAATTGCGCGCTATTTACAAATAAATATGTATTAAAATATGTCTGTCAACACAGCGAATCGGGTTTGTAGTAGTAATTAACTGATAATACGACGTAATTGCTTGTATGTGTGCTCCCGGCGACGCCGAACCTCGGTACAAAATAAGGTTGACAGCCATTCTATTATGTATTATAGTATTCTATGTTGTCAACCCACTTGTCAAGCGTGGTAAGTATTGCAAATATTCTGCTTATGAGGCAATCTGTGGGAAGGCTTATGCTCAGCAGTGGACTTTGATAGCCTGCAATTAATGACTGAAGTTATTAAAAAAAATTATTTTCTGTTTTCAGGTACAAAGTGGCCGTCACCGCGCGTGAGGACGTACCATTTTTCGGGCCGACTCTCCCCCAGCCGTCCGTGTTCAGCAAGGGGCGCGAACTCAAAGAATTTCTCCTTACGAAACTCATTAACGCCGAGAACGCCTGCTACAAAGCCGCAAAATTCGCCCAACTAGAACTGAGGACACGAGCATCGTTATTGCAGAACTTAGCTGAGGAGTTGAAGAGCAAAACTATAGAGTTTCTTGGTACGGGAGTCAGAATTGAGCCTGTAGCAGTGTCACCGCAGCCGGAGGGAACGCCAAAACAAGATGGCCCTGGAGCCAGGTTCATAGACACTGTAAAGAAGGCTCTAATATACAAAGTCAGGTACGTATACGTCGTTAGCAATTTCATATAATTTTCTTGATTAATAATCGATATTAGATAGTGAAAATTAAAATTTATAGGTTTGGCTAAAAGTTATCGGCTATTTGACTAATATTGCAAATTAAATCTCATGCTCGACACACACGGTCAATTAAACTGATTAGTTGAACTGACGTACATTCAAAAACTGGCCGTAGCGTGGGTGTGAAATCTTAATTTGATATTTGAAACCAGTGAATGGTGAAATCTTTTTTACTTACAACTTTTTGAACTAATTAGTTTAACTGATCGTGTGTGTCGGCCATTAGATAAAACCTTATTAATGAAAATATAAATAATTTTAATAGGTAGCATTGATTATAATAAGGTTTAAATAAATTCATTAAACAAAATAATTGAAGTGAAAACTTCTTTAGCGGCGTTGTACACTTTTTTTGTAATGGGTAAAAAATGTTAAACTCGCGTCAGTACACGTGACCTGATCGAAAATTCGTAAGACGGACGGCGTAGGAAAATGTATGCCTGCGCCTGCTGTTTCGTTTAGGCGGCGCAGGGCGCTTGCGCGAATGTAATATAAATTGTCATGTTTGTGTACGATAGCGCAATAAATAAATATTGTATTCTACCACATAAATTATAGTACTTTTATACTGATAATTAAAGCAACTCGTGCAAAATGATTCCCTAACCATTCCAAAATATCAAAAATGCACAATGTTAATATTCAAGTTTTCACTTCTACCGGCACTCCCGGAGTGCAACCCGTCGTTTTTTTTTTGGAGCCTGTAATCGCAATTCCTAGATACGAGGCTATCCGCTCATGTTACTAGTCATACTATTTATTGGTCAAAGACCGTCAAACCGTCAATGATGGTGTAGGCATTTTGATAGGGCGTATTAAAATAAATTGTTTAAAAAAACATAATTCCTTACATAAATTGAACAAACACAAACATCTAGACCAGAAATAATTATTTTTAAGCTATACTACGCTTAGTCACTGTGCCTACCTAGCCGTCAAACACTTAAAATAGTTATTTCAGATATTGTTTCTAGGTGTAGTATATACAAATTTAAGTTAGACGCTAATGAAGTTGCAAGAAAGCATTTTATGTAAATTATTACACCTTTTAGGAAAATTGACTTTAATATAATAAAATATTTGTTGTATTTACAGATCTCCAAGCGACCCGTCAGGTGACAACATGAAAAATTCTCTCAACAAGAAAATCAGTATACACGAGACACCCACTCCTAATGTAAGTGCTATAAATAGACGGCTTTATGCAGTTCTATTTGTTTGTTGTTAGTTTTTTGTGAAATTAGTCTTTATTAGCCACAGTAAGAAATCCCACTCAAATGTAGCCAAAGCGGGTCGCTAGTCGTAAATAAAATGTTTTAAAAAACATCGAACATGTTGATAGGTAATGATTTCTTATATTTACGCGAACACTACACATTTAAATAATACTAGTTTTTACGAATTTTATCGCGTATATTTAACTTATTAAACGTTTCGAGCACTTTACAGCACCCATGGTCACGGGGGAGACTGAGATGTTCACGTTTAGATGTCATAGTTAACCGCAGTTACCATAGATTAAAATTATTATTTTTTGTTCCGATTTATGCAGTAGGAACTTATAGTATCTTTAAGTCTTGCAGTTGTATGCTTGGGTTGTGTTTTAATTTTATTAATTATAGGATCCCAAGCAGATGGTAGCACCCAGCCATCTTCTCTATTGAAATTAGGATGTTTTTTGATTTCAACAGCCTCGCGAATCATCCTTGGAAGGAATCGGTGTTCTTTAGTGAGGATGTGTGGTCTATCATTTGTAGCGACAACTACAAGACTTCAAGATACTATAAGTTCCTACTGCATAGATCGGAACAAAAATTAATAATTTTAATCTACGATAATCGCGGCGATAAAATCCGTAAAAACTAGTATTATTTAAATGTTGATAGGTCTTGATAAAATTGAGATCCGAGTAAATAAATATGTAGTCATGCAAATTATATATAGGTAAACCATTGTACGAACGTCCTTACCACTAGACGGAGATACGACCCGGTTAGACGTAAAATTCGATGGACAGAGGTGACTCAGGACCGTGTTATTTTTTATGTGATTGAAGTAACAAACGAACTCTCCGTCTATCTTATGGTAAGTAGCTAATAAAGCCCATGGACAACTGAAACTGACTTTAACGGAGAAAGCTACAGATGCTCGCGCACATGTATACTGGAGACCCTTTTTACTGGAAACGAGGCATTTCATCTTATCGCACAGGGGTGACAACGCATCGGCATTTTTCAATTTTTTATCGAGAACAAATGTCTTATCATCAGATGGACTGTGTGCTCGGTTTGTCACCTTTAAGGGGAAATATAACCTCAAATGGCTTAGCAAGATCCTCCGTTATGCCGAAAGTATTGCAGCATTAATTTTGAAATAAATATATGGTAAAGTTGAGGATTAATGTTAAGGTTTATGTTAGACGAAAACACGATTCCGTAAAATTTTCTCGATAGAAAAAAAAATCCAAAGTTACCTCCAAACTGAACAATAAACCGCTGTTATTCATAAAATACTTTAAATAAGATCATGAAACTTTGCATACTAACTGAACTAACCATAAAGCAGTGCTTATGTTATTTACTTTCTTAAAATATCATTATTTTCACTGTAAAAAGAAATTACGAAATTATCGGCGCGTAAGCTTGGTTCCTGTCGCTCCGTTAGTATTGCTCCGGCTTTTGAAGGGAGGAGTTGTGTCGCTTACGATCAGAAAACACATTACGCAACAGGAAGACGTAAAATTAAAATGGTAAATAACCGTTATAAAAATAAGAAGCGACTGGGTTGGCGTTAAGAAACAGGCATATATATGATAAACATAATGAAATAAGTATCTAACGACCTATCTACTTAGAGTATTAGTGATTACAAACATGTCGGTACATAGCATACGACGCGCGGGGAAGTGGGGGCGAAATTAGAATTTGAGCTGACTTACTCTCACCTCTTAATCTATAAAAACATTGAAGTGTGGCTGTGTCGTGGCCACGGCCGTATGTTTTACATCAATACGTGTATGTATCAAAAAGATCTCAAAATCGCCCCCCCCCCCCATCCCCCCCACTGAAATTCGCGATGCGACACAGTCCTCACACAACGTAAATATTTTTTTTTGATCTTTTAATTATCTGGTAGTGTAATTAAATTTTGGAAGTAGATGATAGATATGTAGCTGCAACACCAAACTGCATCCCCCGATTTTGTTCTCATTAGCTTTTTGAATATCCTCTCACGTATTCTCGTGAATACATGGTCCACAGAGCGGGCGGTCGAAGACGTCGGTGGCGTCGTCGACGGCGTCGGCAGTGTCGGTGCGGTCGGCGGGCGGCTCGGGCGGCTCCAGCCCCGACGTCACGTCGCGCGCCGCGCCGCCGCGCCCGCAAGACCACAGCGACGACTCCAGCCTCAACTCCGTCGACCTCGACCCACTCGGTGAGACACGTATTCTACTCACACGTTTATACACAAAAAGCTGCTGACTGGAACGCACATACACTCTACGATCGTTTATTCACATGTACTGGTAGTTAGCGACCAACGTAGCCACAATCGATTCACTTGGTGACATCTACATACACACAGCATTGATTTATATATTACATTAGATTAGTGATTACCGCGCCAAAGCGTTGCCACTACACATATGGCCACAGCCATATTCCTAGCTAACGTCAGTTCAGTGTTCAATGTGACGCCGATAGAGTTGAGCTGCGACAAAAAGGGTAAATGCGTAGTGAAAGAATGCGATAAATCAAGCGGAATCACTTTTAACACATAATTTTTAGTCCTTATTTTCATATAAACGTAAAAAACCTCAAATAGTTTAATAAAATGATCGAATATTGTGATTTAGGTTCAATGTTGCCACTTTTCCGCCTTTGCGATTATCCCACATTAATAATATATGTATATATATATATATATATATATATATATATATATATATATATATATATATATATATATATATATATATATATACACATAAATAGACTATATATAATTAATGGAGTAAGTTAATTTGTTGTCTCTGATTTTTAATATTTTGGAAATTATATTAAAACTAAGTTTTAACTTTCATACTAAATAATTAATTATTCTTATTTTAGTTTATTCATAAATGATCTATCAAATATATTTTATTACCTATTTTATATTAATAATTTTATATTAATTATAATTTCATATAAATTTTATATTTTAATTATATTTTATTACCTATTGTTTGATATATTAGTACAATTACAATATTTATAAAATATATTTCATCGTTAGGTTTACTTCTATTCATCTGATTAGCTCTGTATCCTTTTTTTTTTCTAAAGGGATGCAATAAAGATTTGAACATAAAATATACTTTTCTAAAATAAAAACAATTAACTGCAGCTTAAAAAAACTCATTTTTATTACGTATTTTGGGCAAAATTTCATATAGTAAGCCACACCAACCCGCCATTGCATGTTTGTGAGTCTATCTTTATCTAATCTTAGCGACGGTATTGTTTTCGCAACTTGTGTAAGTGGGATAGATATATGTTTATTTAAAATGTTTAGTAATTTCAAAGCTACTTCGTCGCGGTTGAATAGTGGTTACACTTTTTTTGAGGCGCGGTAATGTGTTTTGTTCATCTAAATTTGTATAACTCAATGGCACACATAAAGTTACTCACATCTTGCTGTCACGCACAAGTTTACACACGACAAGAGTGAAGGAGTGGAAAGCCAGCCAGCACGTACCATTCGAACTGGTGTATATTTTACACTGTTTTGAGTTTTTTTTTTAAGTATCAAACTTTATTATTACGATACTATAACAGTACCAGTGCTTTCAGTTACTACTCCATCAATTTATCTGACAAACAGTGTGATTGTGACAAAGTTCCCCAACTTAAGCAGGCCTCTATTGCAATTAACTGTTTGTAGGTTGATTTTGATATTAAGGGAAGATATGTAATTGGATCAAGCATCAGTGTCGGTAACACACTTATAGCCACAGTACTTATGTAAAGACCTAGGATAAAACCTGAATCAAGTTAATGATTTCTTAAATTTACGTGAACACTACACATTGAATAAAACTATTATTTACGGTTTTTATCGCGTAAAGTAATTACTTTAATTTATTTTTATTATTATCCCGACGTTTCGGGTGCTTTACAGCACCCATGGTCACGGTTGACTAATCTTCTTCAGCGGCTTGTAGTAAGTCTTAATGGACGCTCGCTTCAAGATGTAGCCAATCTTGAAGCGAGCGTCAAAAAAATTAAACCCAAACCCAAGCATACCACTGCAAGACTTAATGATACTATAAGCTCGTTTTGCGTAAATCGGACCAAATATTAATATTAAAAAAAATATAGCCGGACTAACTATGACATTGGGACGTCAAACATCTCAGTCCCCCCCGTGACCATGGGTGCTGTAAAGCACCCGAAACGTCGGGATAATAATAAAAATAAATTAAAGTAATTAAACGCGATAAAATCCGTAAATAATAGTTTTATTCAACTGAATCAAGTTGTGTATTGTCAGAACAGCTATGTGATATACATTTTTGTCAAAGAGTAAATACAAACGCGTCAATAATTAGACAAATACGAAATGAACTTTGAGTATTCAACCAACTGGATAGGCCAAGCGCGTTAATTCCTTAACAAAAATTCTGTCACTTTCAGGGGGAGGCGGGGAAAACATACTAGTGTATACTTCACTACAAATGCAAGATTGAATCGCGTCACTATACACGCACACTATAACACTTGTGTTTATGTTTATTGCATTTATGCAAACCATCAAATTGTACACGTTTCGATACACTGGTGCCACTGTCTACATGCGTAAGCAACGTAGGACAAGGACTATGTCGATATTTTTATCGATAAACAAACATCATGAGTGACGCAAAGCGACGGCGTCATCGAGTACCTACATATTGCGATTCTTTTTTGAATGACAACATAAACTCAAACCGCAATAGAAAGCTCCGTGGCGCAGTGGCTTAGCAATGAGTAGCTGCGCTGGGGGCCGCGGGTTTGAATCCCGCACGGAACAAATATTTGTATGACCTACAAATAGTTGTTCCGGGTCTGGATGTTTGTCCTTGTGCAATTTATGTTTGTAAACTGCCTCCACGATACAGGAGAAGATCCTACTGTGGGAGTAACGTATTGTAAAAAAGAGAAAAGAGAGAGGAAACAAATTGGTGTTATTATTATGAACCCAATTTAGTTGTAATTATGAAAGTTCTTATGTGAATTTAAGTAGATGTTGTTATTATATAATAATTTCATTGATTTGTTTTTACCTACTTTTTAACCGACTTCGAAAAAAGGAGGCGGTTTTCAATTCGTTGTTTTTTGGTTATGTATGTTCTGTTAAAGTCTGTGTTAAAGTGTTTTTTGTTTTAAAAATAACAACCTACAAAACAAATTTTATTTATCATTGACTGTCCTTCTTAGATTCTTATGTACTTACATAAATTACATGAGGTATATTAGGATATGAGATTCCTATACGTAATTACGATTATCGAAAATCTAAAAATTACTTATTCTAATTAAATTTATAGATAATTTTAAGATTTTCGACAATCGTGCTTATCAATGAGAAGTTTTCGTTAGTTGGCAAATTAAAGTAGTTAAGTACCTAATGTACTACCTGTATCGAAAGTTCATTATTATGTACCTACCTGTTTTCAATTTTAACTACATGTGCTTCAACAAACTTATGGGTACATTTTACCAGCTATATTCATCCCGGCTTCAGCAAGTGGACACGAACAAAAGGAAGCAATTTTTCTAAATATAGATGTAAATATGTAGGTATTACAACCATAAATAGATAGCAGCGACTAACCTAGTGAGCATGTGTGAGTGCGCGCTGCGCCCCCCCCCCCTCCCCTCTGTCCGTCCCACTTATCAGGGAAATAATTTGTAGCGAAAGGCAAGATCATTTACAACAAAAAGGAGCGCGCGAAATTTTATAAACAGACCTTTGAGTCGGATGTCATGAAAAATCTTGAATGTATCTGTTCAAAATAAAATTATTTGCATTTTTGAACAACTAATCTATCCCTGTATGGTAACTGTTTTGCAATTTTCGTTCTTCTTATGGTATTTATTTCCGCCCAAAGATGTGTTAAAAATAGTGTTGAAATTCGGAATTTTCGACGCTTATAACTTTTAAACATAATCTTTTTTTTACTTTTTTGTTTCCATACAGGGCTAGATAATGATGAGACAAATTAAAATCATTTTTTATTTTGTACGTACACCATCAAACAGTGTAGTGATCGCTAGACTACGTTTGTATAGAAGAACGAGGGACTAGTGTACCCTTAACTCTGGGTAATATGTAGTTCTGGGCAGTTTCCAGTCTTACTTTTAAGTAATTGTCTCTTTAAAAGTTCGCTATCTTTAATTCCTATCGTTTCTAGTACCTGTTTGTTTTCTTTAATTATCAAAGATGTCTCTGTCAGCGAATCTAGTATTTTTCGCAAACTTGTAACTTTTTTACTTAAATATCGTTTCTGCGATTAAAGTTTTTTTTTATACTATTGCACGCCTCATAAGCGAAGCGTTGAGGTTGTGCTCTATTTTACCTAATGGAAATCCAGTAATTTTCTGAGCTAAAAATGTCTTTATTTTTTGACTATTGCACTTTTAGAATAATAAAAATACACATGTATCGAGAAAAATCACTCGTTTTCATATTTCTATTATTTTTAAAAGTAATTTACTGTAAACACTGATTGAAAAAAAAATTCGAGGGTGTCCGGATGTCTGTTTGTGTAGATGGCGCACGATTACGGTCGTTAGAATTAATGTATCAAAATAGTTATTTTTTCTCACTCAATCTCAATCTCAAAGCACTTTAAAAAATCACTGTGTAATTTGGTCTTGCTTAATTGTAATTAATGAAAATGTTAAAAAAAAACTGGTACTTTTCCACAAAAAAATTTTCTCGTGGATCTCTTCTTTCGTTTCAAATATGGAAAAAGAGATATTTTTCTTTTTATATAATCAAATGAGATTATGAGGCATGCACTTTTGGATTTTCCAAAGTTTACTTTTTTATTTTGAGGCATTTTTTTTAGTTTAATTTTCCTTGTTGCATAGTCTGTTCGCTTAGATACAGTCGCTTTTATGCCGCGTCGCCTCGGCACGTGCCGCAAAGGCGCGACATTAAAGTTCGTGCTGTAAAGCATCCAAAACATCGGGAATCAAACAGTCTAAATTAAACTCGATAAAATCCGTAAAATTAATTTCATTTAATTCGTGTGTTCGCTAAAATATAAGTAGTCATAATTGTAAACTTATCGAAATTCTAAAATATTTTCAAGAAGAATAATATTGGTGTCGACGGTAATAATAAAAATATTTAATCTATTTATATAATTACAGCTAGACATTACATCCCACAAGTTCAAGATTTGTACAATAGTATCGGGTAACATTCTTTTATTGATAGTTTGGGGTATAAAATATAATTTATCAAAATATTTGCAGCGAATGGTGCTAGTCGTGATTTTTCGCGATGATTTGTGATTTCTACAAGCTACAATCTAAGTCTGCCGCCTAAGAGGATCTCTTGAAAATATGTAAAATTAAACCAATAATAGAAAAACTTATTGCTTTTTGTAATTTGAAAACTTTATTATACAGTCTAAACAAAAACTAAAAACCGGTTCGGCAGACAAACCCAAATGGTAAATTAAGTTATCGATAGCTGAAGTTGCGGCGTACATCACTATATTGCAGTACTTTCTGTTGCAGTGATACCAGATTTTTTTAGAAAAATTGCACACTTTTGCTACGAGGTGGCAAGTGTCAATTCGACTTATTTGGCATTTATTTTGTGTAATATTTTGATAAATACTACTTACCGATTATATTAAATCATATAATATTCAGAATCATGTTTCAGATTGATCTGAATATTTAAATCATTTGACAAAATCCATTACACATCTTTATGTCAGAATGATAATTATTCATCACAAACATATTAAATTAATAAATGGCAAATACATTTTCGTTAGTATATTTTTTGTGTTGTAAATTATATTTATTTAAAATAGCTTATTTTCACACCATGAACTATGATTGAAGCACTTGGTATTGGACGAAAATATTCAGAAAACACGAGTTTTAACGATACAATTATGTTAAAATATTCACAGATAAAAACACACGTTGTGTTTTTGTAGATAAGTCTTTTTTGATTGTTTTTTTGCATGAAAATTCACTGCATTTGTGTCGGAACTTGGTTGACTGGCACGATCTCTTGCAGAATGGCCTTTGGTTTAATACTCAAAGCTTAAGCCCAATGAAATGTTTTAAGCAAGAAAAATAAGAAGTAACAAAATATATAATAGGTACACGGGACAAAAGTATATATGTACTAATACTCATATACTCTATCATACATTAAGGACGATCTAATAATGTGGTTTATTGTTTTTTATTTATTATATAATATAATATCTCAGTAGTTTAGTAATAAGTAATATTAAAATAAAATGTTATTCTTTTTTTCAATTAGACGACAAGGACTGGCTGAGTTGTGGCAAAGGCGCAACAGGTTAGTCCTTAGATAGATATAAAAAATAGTATTTATCTTTTTAATTGTTCATTAATTTAAACTATCCTAAAAAGTTTTAATGCACTTATAATTCGTATAAGAATGATCACGTCAAAAATTTTCATTGCATTCACTTTGTTCAATCATTATATACAGTTTAAAAATTTATCAGATTTTAGGATTGAATTAAAAAAATGTGAAATCGTTTTCAACAACGCTAAACAAACCGTGTAAATGACCGAAACAGCGAAGAGCGGTTTGAATCGTCAGGGACGGAGCTCTTTCTGATCGGTTTAACTCACTGGCACTGCGAAGAAATGTTGAATCTCTTTCTATATTTTATCGCTTCTACCACGAGGAGTGCTTTGAAAAATTGTTTAAACTAATTTGAGTCGCTCAATTTCACCATCGTACATTGCGATCAAACTCGCGATACCATATGGATGATTAGCGGTCCACCACTGTGCAATTTACAAGAAGGTTTCAACATCGTACAACCTCCTCGTGGAATCAGCTACCAACAGCAATTTTTCCTCACCGATATAACTTAGGGACCTTCAAGAAAAGAGCCTACACACCTGCAATTTCTCTAGTGTTGCAATTATTCGTGGGTAGCGGTCAAAACTTAGGTGACGACGCTTGCTCCAAGAGGGGGCAACCCTCTTCTATAAAAAAATTGGAAGATCGTAGATTGGAATCTGCTTAATTGGAGTTTAAAGTAAAAAGTAAAGTTACAGCCTATGTACATCCCACTGCTGGGCACAGGCCTCCTCTCATTTCTGAGAGGGTTTTAGGGCAAGGAATAGTCCGCCGCGCTGCCCAATGCGTGTTCGAACTTCACATGTCTTCGAAATATTTTTAATCTTATTCCTTAGACATGCAGGTTTCCTCACGATGTTTTCCTTCACCGCCGAGCACGTGGTAAATCAGCACTTAAAATTGCAATTAACAATTTCATTGGTGCCGGCGGGCATCGAACCCGCTTTGCTCGCGTATTGTGAAGTTTATAGCGAGCGCTAATCATCTGAGCTACCACGGCTCATAAAATTGCAGTTTATGGAGATTAAATTTAGTATAAAAAAAGGAATTAAATCCATGATATAACTGGGAGTTTTCCCTCAATATTGCGATGAGTTAGAAACGAATAAAATTTTACGCTTTGCAGGTACGCCAGTATACGTGGACAGCGACACGGGACTGGAGTCGATGTCGTCAGCGGAAGCGGGCGCGGCGCGGGGCGAGGTCGCGGCCGCGACACGAGGCGACGCCGAGCTGCTGCGGCAAGAGGTGTGCCGCCTCAAGAACGACAAGTTGGACCTACTCAAGCAAAACATTGTGAGTTCTAAATTATCAGCTTTTGTACGTGGTAGAGCCCCGCTGCAGCTATAGTAGTTGTAGCACGAATGGGTTGGCGACCGGGATGTGACCACGCTCTCACAGAATACCAGTGCAAAAAAGGCAGCTTAAGGCTGCTGTGTTTTCGTGTGATGTGTGTAGACAAACCAGGACCTTTTTTACTGATGAGGCATTCCGTCTGAATCCTCAAAGGTGAAAACTCATCTGTATTATGATTCTTAATCGAAGATGGGTATGCGTGTCTATGAGCCACAGCATCCACTTACCTTCAGGTGATATAAAGACCTAAATTTACTAAGTCTGAAAACGGTGGGCAGCGTACCACCTAAAGACAAAGTAATAAAATCTGCTAAGGCAGAAGTTTTTTACTTGTAGTTTGACGTGTAACTACTGCAGTAGGATGGAAGACAAACATACGGAGCCAGCCTATTAAAGTCCACTACTGAACATTCTCTAACTCTGAAACCCTCTCAGAAATGAGGGGAGGCCTGAGCCCAGCAGTGGGACGTATATAGGCTGTAACTTTACTTTACTTTACTGAACATTGGCCTCCGCTTAGATTGTTTCAAAAGGGGAATATTTTTTATTTTCAAGTTGTTATGAAGTCGTTGCTGCCCATTTCCCGGTGTATTTTCTTAGATCGCCTCTTACGTTACCCGTGGACGATAAATGTATAGTCGATATTCTTTCACCGGTACTATACTACTACTTCTACGGTCGTTTGTGTGTGATTGTTAATCAATGATAGATAGACTAAGATAAATAGGTAGAAAGAACTATGGGTCACAGCATCCACTTACCATCTGAAATTATTCTAGCTAAGTGTATAAAGAGCCGTGGTAGCTCTAATATTAGCGCTCACTGTAAATTTCACAGTATGCGAGCAACTTGGTTTCGATCCCCGCCGGCACCAATGAAATTGGTTAATAGCAATTTTAAGTGTTGATTTAGCACGTGTTTGGCAGTGAAGGAAAACATTGTGAGGAGACCTGCATGTCTGAGGAATTAGAAAAAAATATATTTCGAAGAGATATGAAGTTCGCCAACACGCATTGGGGCACTTCCCTGCCCTGAAACTGGGCACAGGTCTGCGCCCAGCAGTGGGACACTTATATATGCTGTAACTTAACTAACTTAAGTGTGTAAAAGTATTAAGGAATCTTAATTGTAAGCTAATAAATTTGACTTTGTTTCAGACTTGGCAAAACGAAATAAAATGCTTACGAGAGAGGGAGATAAAACTGCAAGCAGACCTATCTGCTTTATCTAAGGAAGTGAGGAAACTTCGAGAACAACAAGCTACCAGCACTCTTATTCCCAATCCTTCGTCGCATGACTCGACCGCTTAAGATTATGAATACCTCTGATTTCCTCAAGATATTGCATACTTATGATTATGTAATTGTGTGTGATTTTGAATATTGGGTTTTGTCTCCAGCAGAATAACAAATTAATATTTAAATTATTAAAGTTTCATATAAAAACGTGTAGGCGGTTTGGTTACGCAATGTACTGCTGATGCTGTGTGAAATTTAAACCATTCTATGCCGTTACAATATAAAGCATTTGCAGTTTTGGAAATGATTGTGCAATATTTGTTCATGTTTTGTAATACCATTATTTGTACGTAATTTTGTATTACGTAGATATTTTATATATTATGACAAATTTTATTTATATAAGTGACAGAAGTCACATTAAGTTGGCCTAATACCGCATAATTTTCTCTTTATATTTATATTCATGGTGACATGTGTGTGCGTGCCAGACGTATCTACATATAAGGAAAACATCAAAAATATTTACAACTACTATTTTCGCCTTAATGTCGCTAATTATGAGAGTAAATCATTTAGAAGCTACCAGGCAATCAATACAAGTCTCAGAGTCTATCATCCCATATATTTCATATTTCCCTTTCTTTAAAAAATAATTTTCTCAGGTCGTAGGGATGTGCGAATCCCTCAAGCAAATTCCTATTTTACCTTTAGGTTGAGAACAACTTTAAGTCTTGCTGACTGATTAAAATTGCTATGACAATTATTAAATATTAATAATAAATTAGAGAGAATATAATTCGACTCTTCTATGTTGTACCAAAACGAATATTTCAATAACGTCTTTAGATTATTCATTATAAATGTTGTGATAAACTGTAACACATTGCAGTTTTCTTTTCTTTCTATCGATATATTTGTGTTAACAAAATATTCTTTAACGTAGAGGATTATATTATATTATTATAATAAAAATTAATAGCAAATGTGTGTTTAAATATTTATTTTATGTATAGGATTTATATTTCAATTTAGGAGAAATGTATAGATTAAAGAATTGTGCGAGCAATTATTATAAATTAGAAAACCTCACCTCTTCACAGTAATATTTAATTTTGGTATGTAATAGTAACATCGCAACGACCGTTTGATATTTAATATTATTTAATGCAAGTCTATGAGTAGAAAACTTTTTTATGTTGTTTTGTTTCATAAAACATTAGAAATTCATTCAATGTTGTGACGTAAAGTAGCAAAATATGGTTGTCATAAATGTGAGAAAACGGTACCTACAAAAATTAGCTTTGATTGTGATTGGTCTGTAGAGAACCTATACTTGTATGGTGCATTAGAAAAATAAAAACAAAATTATGGATAGGCGTGATCTTATAGTCTATTAAAATGTTGGAATTTCTATTTTATATTACGTACTACCTATATAATATACAATAGGTATTTTCCCAGTATCCACTTTACTCTCATATAATTATGTTTATAGTTTTCATTTTATCAGTGCAATTATTCCTTTAAGCGAAAACCGCACAGATTATGTTTCCTTTTACTTAAGTTCACCAGTTATTGTAAATATATTTTAACTGGTTTTAGACTATTAATTAATCAGTATTTTTCTAATTTATGTTTAATTTAAGCGTCATTTCTCGAGTGACTTTGAGTTTGATATGTTTTGTTGTTTTGTAATTAATATTTTATACCAAAGTTAACATTCCCCACTATGATAGTGTAGTTTTTTATGTAATAATTATTACAGTAATGAAGAAAGATGAAACAGTATTCTTGAATTTTTAGTTGACTGAATACACTAACATTATTTTTAAGTTTACATTTACTATCGTAATAAATGTAATCTTTTGGATGTTTGTTCAACTGTTGATTATGATTAAGTTAATTGAAAATAACTGTTGATTCGACTTTTCTAGACATAAACCAAATATTGTGAACGCGGAGCGTTAGGAGAAATAGTCTATAACTTTAAGAGACTACGGAAATATATAAATAGTTGATTACTAAATAATTATTGTTGTTTTACTACCTTTATCCTCGATTTTAAAGTGAGTGAGTCTTTCTTATATTTAGAAATAAAGTGCGGATTCCCCGAGAGCCCACGCCACATAAGTCTTGCGGCGAAAATATGAACTAATGCAACGTTTAAGATACTCGCCGAGCGCAGACGAATAGACGAAAGTATGAACTTGGGTACTTGGCTCGAGTAGTCGCTTATTCCCCACTCGATTCCACTCCGTTTTTTGGCCCGAGTATATCGATCACTATTACTGATTGATGCCCGAGTAAAATAAATCCTCGTGTACATTTGTGTCGGTGTTTACATACTTGTCATTATTCGCTTGACCGGATTCAGGTGCGTATTATTTTTCAATAATAAAAAATACACACGTACTGATGAATTGGGGTAACGAATACCTATACTATTTTTAAAGAACTTTATCAAGGAGACCCCGAAATATTTTTTTAATGAAAACTAATATATATATATATATATATCATCAGCATTGTCATCATTATAGCCATACAAGTCCACTGCTGAACCAAGGCCTCACCCAAGGAACGCCACGAAGTACGGTCCTAAGCCATCTGCATCTATCGATTTTCTGCATGTCTTGCCATGTCGTCACTCCATCTAGCGGGGGGCCGCTTCAAACCTCCCAAATAAATATTTGTTAGTATATAAATATGAAATATGCATAAAGTCGTGGCAACTAGATGCACGTCACCCATGTTTAAAATATCTACGTTGAAAGAATACAGACGAATATCATGTGAACGCGTCGTACTTGCACATGAATAACTCGGCGAGGTACCTACTCGGCAAAGACATTTATGTATGTAGTAGTAAATATAATATATTTCAATCTCTTTGCTACTCGGCGAGTTGCTCGTGCCGATAAAGTAAACGTGCCATAACAAGAATAGGTACTTCATTCTTTCCAGCTACAGCGCTGAGTTTTAAAGTGACAAGGATTTTATTACCTACCGGATACGTTTTAAACCTGACTGAGTGATATCTTTTCCAACAAATGCATTGAAATTTTTATGCGTTTTTTTTTGTTTAATTTAATTTGATTTTGTTTAATTTTAGTAAAGATTTTAAACAATTATTTTAATATCAAACAACTTAGTTTCCCACCAGTCTGCATATCAACTACAGTCCAAACTATTGTAATACAATATACCAACCTTTTCATTGTAGTATTTACAGCACATTCTTCCAATTCGGATGAAGCCCCGTCCAACTGATTCAGATTCTAATTTACCTTACACCGTAGCGCTCTTGTATCCACATAATATGGATAGCTCTTTAAAGTTTTCCCGAGAGTGCAGTGGGGCTAAGCGTTTAGTTGCGCTTTGAGCCGTGGTTCAAATCTTGCAAGTATTTAACTATACGGTAATTATACGGCGTCCGAGTAATTTCTCATGTCTATATTGGGCTGATTTTTTGTCTATGCAGTAGGATGGATCCATCTATATCTTTAAAAACCTTGATGATACAGATTTTTTGTTAATTTAATTTTACAGCTTATATACGTCCCACTACTGGGCACAGGCCTTCTCTCATTTCTGAGAGTGTTTTAGGGCAAGAAAGTGTCTGCCGCGCTGCCCCAATGCGTATTGGCGAACTTCGCATGTCTTCGAAATATGTTCTTTCTTATTTCTCAGACATGCAGGTTTCCTCACGATGTTTTCCTTCACCGTAGAGCACGAGCACGTGGTAAATCAGCACTTGAAATTGCAGCTAATAATTTCATTGGTGCCGACGGGAATCTAATACATTTTACTAATAAAACTAATACATTTTACTTATGTTGTAATTATAAACGTTTAGATCATTATTTCTAGTATATATTCAGTAATATATGCTTAGATCCTCTTGTGCTCACGGCCCTCTCGGGCCAGGGGTCGCTTTCGGCTGGGAGCCCGTGGCATTTTGCCCGGCTTGCCACCCTATTGTTACGTCATTAAATATCGCTCACGACAAGTAAATGAACTTTCAAATATTGAACCATCTTATTTTAGGAACCTATCTCATAATAAGCCCCTTAACACTATTTAAAAATATTTAATAGCTCAGAGGGTACCTAAGTTTATTATGAAAAAAATTATATTAAAACATTTAAATGGCCGTACTCCATAGGCGGTATCTTTTAAAGACCTGATATTTTATGATTTTTTTATATCAACGCCATCTATAGATACATCTATTAAGTCTTATGGCTTGCGTATCTCTGTGCATTGAAAGCTTGAGGTTACCAAACGAAAATAAACCAAAACACGGTGAACACACACCGTATTTAGCATCAGTGTTGGGAAGACACACTAGATGTCGCATACTATGTTCCAGTATTATTATTATACTGTGATGATATTATAATATATAAGTAGAATACCACTGACTGACTCATTACGATATCTCTAAAACTATACACCCGATTGACTTATAGTTACTCATTTCGCAATGTGGACGCTCACTAAGAACGGATTTTCCAATGGTCCCATAAAAATAAAACGACGGGTTGCACTCCGAGAGTGCCGGCAGAAGTGAAAATTTTAATATTAACGTTGTGCATTTTTGATATTTTGGAATGGTTAGGGAATAATTTTGCACGAATTGCTTTAATTATCAGTATAAAAGTACTATCATTTGTGTGGTAGAATACAATATTTATTTATTGAGCTATCGTACACAAACATAACAATTTATATTACATTCGCGCAAGCGTCCTGCGCTGCCTAAAATAAACAGCAGGCGCAGGCTTACTTTTTTGCTGCGCTGTAGAAAGAGAGAGGGATACTTCCTCTCCTACGCCGTCCGTCTTACGAATTTTCGATCAGGTCACGTGTACTGAGTTTTGAGACCAGTTAACATTTTTTTACCCATTACAAAAAAGTGTACAACGCCGCTAAAGAAGTTTTCACTTCAAAAATTCTTGATATTTTAAATCTAGGTTCTAGTCGATATTTGAAATCTAGTTCTAGGTGATGGTTCATCTTACCGTGCGCCCAGCGAATCGAGCGGGTATAAGATTTATTGTGTAGGC